TATATATATGTTTGTGCGTATGAATACATCTATATACATATAAGCCCAGCATCCGAACATTTTATCTCTTCACTTTGGGTCATCTGTTTGTACTCTGGTGAGTGGTGTGTGGTACGTGACGTGGCCGACTGTCCCTGAGAGCTCTGCATCATAGCTGTGTCGTTTCGTTATTTGAACTGGAATCCCCATACTTTCCTGTAGCACATCTGTGCCTCCATAATTGCCCATGCCCGCCAACCCGCCTAGACTGTGTGTGTCTTCTCCGAAGTCGGTACACTCCCGTACCGTACATAGCTGTGCGACGACAACTGTCCAATGATTTGTATGCGTAACATTCGGGACGATTACACCTGTACTTCATATAGAGCGGACCTCGCGCTCAGTCCATCGCGCAATTTTCTGGTGTGGGCTCGGGTGCACCCATCCTCAGCCCAGAGACATAGCTTGCTTTCATGAGCTGCCTCGCCTCCCAATTTAAAGGTATCCCACAGTAGGGGTTCTCGGGCACAATCGCACTAGAGCCCCAGTACGGCGGTCTCGTTAATTGTCCACCTCCAGGAATGGTGTGACCTCGTGTGGCCCTACGGTATGATCCTTTTGAGCCCAAAACGTGGCGCAGTTCACAATCTCTCTCCATGAAATACCCCTACGTGTACCCTGGCATGCCCACGTTACGTCTACCACGAGGCTAGCGCTCTTTCACTCGTTAATTGTCCACCTTTTCCCCTCTTCGTCAACTTCCTCCGCCACTAGCGGAATAGTCTGGGTGCGTTGTGGTATGTTCAAACTCGACCTACTGCAAGTCCCTGTCCCTTTCACGCCTACCACAAGGCCAGGCCAAGTCTCGTTCATTGTCCGGTGCCACTTGGTAGCATGTAAAGGGTGCGATCCCGAATGCCCCTTACTTGGCCCAATTTATAACTACGCCTGCTTGTTCCAATCTACCGGTCCTGGGCACCCCAATTGGATGGCGAATGCACCAAATATTTTGTATATAGGGCTCGTTTGCATCTGGAAAGCCTGGCCATCGACTGTAGCTTCACACCAGTACCGCGACTATACCAATCACTCCCTACACCAGAGCCCGCGTGCCTACACCAAAGATTATATCACACTTTCAGCAGTATTTTTTTAGTACACTATATTACTTTAAAACGCATATATATCTGGCATGTATACGCAGCAGACATAAAGGTTATATTGGTGCATACGATTTCCTCGACCTCGTGATACGTTTTCATCTACGACCATAAAATAATCATGGGTTCTAATAAGGTTACGCAGGTGTATATTTCAGCATGTGTATAGGAACGATTAACGCAAACGGTAGAATCGACAGAAAAAAGTACGATAATAATGATAAGGCACTCCTAAAGAACGAAAATGAAACCCTGTTATCGTGGGGCATGTACAATCGTCGAAAAAAAAAGCACCACCATCACGGAAGTCAGAAATAACTCTAACAATAAATACAAATGACTGTATCTGTATATATATATATATATATATATACAAATATATGTATCCTATAAAATACATTTGTATATAGAATATATTAATGCATATATATACATATATATATGTATATATGGAAATGCATATTTGTATACATGAAAATGTACATGCATGGACATATATAAATGAATATATATAAATATATATATATATGTATGTATGTATGTATGTATATGTATATATATATTCCTATATTATATATATATATATATATATATACCTTTATATATATACCTATATTATATATATATATATATATATTTATATATATATATATTGATATTGATATAAATATAAATATAAATATATATATATATACTCATAAATATATGTATCCTAATATTTATAGATTGCTAGATAGTCAAATAGATAGATATTAGATACATAAAAATATACTACATATATTAATATATAATATACTATAAAAAAGTTCATATATTTACAATACGAGTATACAATATATGTAGTGTACATTATATATGTATATATACATATATATATATATATATATACATATATATATATATATAATATATATACATATATTCAGATATAGACACACAGAC